AACGCTCAGAGACCTCATCTACGACATGACCACCTCAGGGTCTGGATCAGGTGTGTGTGTGTGTGTGTGTGTGTGTGTGTGTGTGTGTGTGTGTGTGTGTGTGTGTGTGTGTGTGTGTGTGTGTGTGTGTGTGTGTGTGTGTGGGTGCGTGAGGTGGTGCAGTATCTCTGTAGTGAATCCTGAAGTTGGCATCACAAGATCTCCACAAAAATAACTGTGGGAGAGTCAAAAGTGACCAATGTTTTCCAACCTCTTTGATTTCCTGGAACAGATCTTCTGTTTTTCCAGAGTTTGTGAACCTGCTTTTCATTTTTATAGTTTTATGGAATATGTACTCAATTTGCATTAGATACAGTATGTTCAGAATTGAGTAGTCTGAAGGCGAATTGAAAACTTTCCATGTTCTCCGGTGGCCTGACTTGCACATTTGATTAGTTTTCGTTTTTTATGTGTATGCTAAAAATGCTCTACGTGTTTTGCTATTTGTGTTGTGTTTTTCTGTTTCAGGAAGTGCTTGAAGCGATTGCAGAGTGTGCCTTCAAGACCTCACCTTTCCCCGTCATACTCTCCTTTGAAAACCACGTGGACTCGTGAGAATCTCATTATTTACTTCTGATCATCCAAGAGATGGATTCAAATGTAAGATTTCTATCCATGTATCTTTCTAACTATGTATCCATCTTATCTTTATGTCACCAACAGTTCGAAGCAGCAGGCTAAAATGGCTGAATACTGTCAATCTATTTTCGGGGATGCGCTGCTGATTGACCCTCTGGACAAATACCCTGTAAGTAACACACACAGGAAGAATGTGGCATAATGCATTTAATTACTCACATACTAAATTATGTTTTTAGCTAACCACCTGTATGGTTTTGACTAATTATCTTCATCTGTGTGTGTGTGTGTGTGTGTGTGTGTGTGTGTGTGTGTGTGTGTGTGTGTGTGTGTGTGTGTGTGTGTGTGTGTTTGTGTGTAGCTGGAGGCAGGCGTCCCTCTGCCCAGTCCTCAGGAGCTGATGGGAAAAATTCTCGTCAAAAACAAGAAATCCCACAAACCCTCGGCTAACACGGACACCAAACGACTGGCGGACCTTGCGGCCAATCAGAGCCACGAATCGGCGTCTCCTAGCAACAACACGGGAGGTAAGAAAGACACAAGACAAAAGGACTCCTTCAGCCTTTAGATCCATCTGAAATCTGCTGCCACACACTCACAGGCTTTGTAGGAAAACACAAAACAAGGTGGAAGGAACCGGGATTTCTCTGAGCTACAAAAATGTTCAAATGCACACAAACACATGCATTTATGGAGAGGCGTCAGAGCGAAGGTGCTGCTTTTTTCGACGCCATGGAGGAGTTAGGGGTTCAGTGCCTTGCTCAAAGATACTTTCAAACTGGTGAGCTGGCACCTCTCCAGCCACCTGTCCACACAACAAATATTTTGTTTGTTTTTGTCCGCACAGGAATGATTATAATGTTAGCCAAAACCAAAAAAAATGTTGATTCTTGCCGATAAAACCTCTCAAACATTCACACTTGTTGCTGTGGCTGTGAGGGAGTCGTCTTTCAATCGTAAGGTTTTGGGTTTGATTCCAGCCCCTGCATTCAATAATAATAAAACATTTTATTTGTAAAGCAGCTTTCATTGCTAAAAGTAATCCCAAAGTGCTACAAGAGGCGTAATAGAAACACAAGTTTAATCAAAGGCTTTTTTTAAAAGAACGTTTTTTAGGCCATGTCAAATTATTCTTGGACAAATGCAATATTTCTATACTTTACTAGGAACAATGAATGAAATCAAAGCGTTTACAATAGTGGTGTCAGTTAGATTTGGTTTGCAAAAAGAAAAGGTTGTGAATAATCCGTTTTTTTATTGGTATCCAAAGCAGGTAATTATCCATATCAGCTAAAAAATTACGCATTCCTATTATAATTTATCCTTGCCATGTAGTGTCTGGATTATGATTTAAAGATATTTGATCAGCTGTTTTCTTGTATCTTAATTTTTCCTATAAATTGTATTCATTCTTTACCCAATTGTTAACCTAAGGCGCGTTTACACCGGAGTACTTTTCCCCGTAATTTTCCCGTGTAGTTCCGTTAGTGCCTGGAATTTTGCGTTCACACCAAAAAGAGAACTTAGTTCAGATAACTTTTACCCCCATTTTCAGTGCCTGCTAGAGAGGTGGGACTATCCTGGGGAGAAAAAAGTACCAATTTCTGATTGGCTGGGCGAATTGCACGCCCCGTAAAACTCTGAAAAGTTTTGTGAAGCCGCCATTGTATTTGCTGGCATTAGCATTATTAGCATTAGCATTAGCCCCGCGCACCATCGGAGAGAGAATAACTTAAGGCAACACAACAAATAAGACATGGGAGCGGTGGAGTGATGAGGAGGTGTCGGGGTTCTGGCGATTTACTCTGAAGCCAGTCCCCAACTCCGGGGACTTCCGGCCGGGGACTTCGGGTGGAAGTATACGCCGTGAAGTTGTTTGCGGCCTGCCAGTAAACCCAAAGCAGAAGAAGAAGAAGTGACGTCAGCGGCTTCATTTGCGTAATCTTCCCTCAGGGAACTTATTCCGGTGTGAACGCGATCTGTACTTAGTGCCATGGGGGAACTAAGTGCTGGGAACCAAGTACTTGGTGTGAAAGCAGCTCTAGTCTTACCGGTGCGATGTGAAAATGTGTTTTGGAAATATGGAAAACATTTATGTAAATTGTGTAAGGATTTCATCAAACAAACATATATTTCCACAGGTAGGACTTGTCGTTATTATTCAAACAAACAACAACACATTGCAAGTCAAGTGCAAATGATTTCACGACAATCTTCTCCGGTTACTTTGATAAAGTGGAGTGTGTGTATGACGGTGTTTTATTCCCTCTTTAAGCCGAACACACAGGGTCAGGTTTACAGCTGTTTGATGTGTACAAACGAAGAAGAGTGGATGAAGAGTCGATGAGGATGAAGACTTGTTTAACTTTAATTTTAACAGAGATGGAGGCTGAGAGTGAGGAAGAGGATGATGATGAAGATGATGAGGGTAAAAAGGTCAGTGAGGCTGAGGGCCGCTCGCCCTCACTGAATGTCAATAAATATTGTTGATTTTCATTGTTAATTTTGTATTCCATTGTTGTTTTATGTACTGTAAATGTTGTTGTTAATAATTGCTATTTCCTGTTGTTATTTTTGCTGTTGTTGTTTGTTCTTAATGTGTAATGTTATTTTCTTTTTCTTGTCCTAAATGTTTCAGTGGGTCTGAGCTCTTACAAGCTATGATAATTTACTTTTAATCATTTTGTTTACATAAAAATACACCAATCATTGCTGTCCTCTATAGCTGTGTATCCATTCACCTGTTTCGTTGCACATTATTCCTTTACACAAAATAAAAAATAAATACAAATAAAGTTTAAAAAAAGAAGTAGATCAAGTCACGTAATTCAAACAATTAGGTACGGATATATTTATAAAACAAAAATATTAACATGAGGTAGAGATTGTATTATTTAGTGTTTTTAAATCGTCACTCTTCACTAGAGCAACCTTTTATTCATTTGTTGTAGTGTTGGGCTACTTTGCAATTACTTTTTAGAAAACCTAGTTTAAGATTTAATTTTAATGATATAAATGAACGGATCAATTATATGTATTTTTTAGGGAAACTTTTCATCTTAATCTCACAAAACCCTACTTTGAGATATTTCATAAAGGCTAATAATACCAAGAAAATTAGGTTTGAGGAGGTGTGGAAATGTCATTGTAATTCTGTTCACTCTTGTTTTTGTGTTTGTATTTCTGTCAGATAATGATAATGCTGTACTTTTTAAGTGTTCAAAAATTCCTGACCACAATTTGTTGGACCAAATCAATCTGCTGAAACTTCACTTCCAACATAACCCCAGTACATGCATCAATCAGACCATTTAACCACAGATTTAAATATAATTAATTGTTAGAAAAATATCACTCATCACCGTCTTCAGCTTCAATATCAGTATACAAGTATTTATTATCCTTGCAAGAATGGAAGTAGTCATCACATACAGAGCTGCATGGGACAAATAGTTCCCCGCAGGGCCGGCCCTAGACTTTTGGGGGCCCTAAGCGAGATTTGGCTTGGGGGCCCCCTCACTCTAGCGCGTCCTCACAACACACAACACGGAACCAACTTTTGTCTTATGATGTTAGCATAAGCACACATATTGTATAAATAAGCATATAAACACCGTGGACCTAACATCCTCTAAGGGGGTCCTCACCTCCTCTAGGGGGGTCCGGGGGCATGCTCCCCCGGGAAGATTTTTTTTTAAATATTGAAGTTAAAAGCATCAATCTGGTGCATTTTGAGAGAGAAATTAAGAGATCTATGGATACATATCTCAACACCCATATGAAACAGAACTGTAAACAGATTTTTCTTTATGGATATTTTACAAATCACTTAAACTGTATTCTTGTTTTGTCATATAGTATTTCATAACTGTTTTTCATTTATTCTCTCTGGCTGTCCATCTCATAATGTTCACATAGAAACTAGCTGTCAATAGGAATATAATTCAGAAGAATTATAATTTCTTGCAAAAATCTGTCACAAAAAGAGGTTGCACATTTAAATGCAGGTGTTGTTATGGCAACGTCAGTGGCCAAACAGCCACATTTACTGCTGCAAATACGTTCAAACATGCTGTAGATACTAAAGCAGTGGCAACTATGCCACCATTTCAGCTGACTTTTTCTCAGAAATACTGTCACATAACATCCATATATTTCAGTGCTAGGTTGATGCTTAGCTAAGCTAACTGTGAAACACTTTAACTGACAGGACTCCGGATCAACTGTGAGGTAGCTTCTAGCTTCATGTCGAACACTGACAGTAAGTCAACATTTCCCAGAGAGCTTTCTTTGAAATCACCAGGTAACGCTAAAAAACACAACATTTAGATTGTATGACAAAGTGTTTATTTAATATATCTGGCTAGCTATAGCTACTTGCTAACGGTTTAGCTTACCCGCGCGATTCAAAGTAACGTCAACGTAGCTGTAATGTATGCTTTCCTTACATGTTCCCATAACTTGGAAGTTTACTGACATTTACATACCTTGTTTACCTGGCTCAAGTGGTGGTGCTGTGTGAGCCACCACTTGAGAATTGTCGTCTTTTTTAAGAAAAAATGTTCTTATGTCCATCTTCAAAAACTCTGAGTCCGACTGGCTAGTTTATTTTAAACATTGTCACAGCTCACATGATAGGTACCTGTCAGCCAATAAGACAGATGTTTATTTCCATTCAACTCTCCGGGTGGTCTGGTGTCTTGCCTCTGTTGCATTCACTGAACACGGGAAATTACAATCCTGCCGTCCTCTCTTGTGTCATGATGAGGTTCAGGTAAAGAACGGTTAATGTATTATATTATTGACTCAATAATAACTTTTGGGAGTAGGTAATCTAGGCATATTAACAAAATGAAATTAAACATACTTATCACAGCAACGGT